CGGTATGGATGTTTTGAGAAGGTTCAAACGAGAAGATCCATACAATAATGAGGCGAAACGACCACGGAAGTTTTGCCAGACAGAAGTTGGGACGCCGTGATGACAGCGACACTCGCGTTCACTTGTGCATTTCGCCATCATTTTTACGACCAATCGCCCGGATCGCGACTTCCGACAGCATGACACTATGGGTTTTGTGGCGTAATTTCTGACAGTTCAGGACAATTTTTGATGTATCGGCAGCATAGAATGCTAAACACACCAGTCAGAGACGCGCTCTAGGCACCATAATCTTGCTTCTGACACCGCCTGCTAGTTGTGCGAGCAGACGCGTGGTGGCCTCCGGCATCGTCTGCTATTCCACCACCGTCTATCATCATCTGCAATGTCCGTAAAGCGCGAACATGAAAGCTGCTCGTCGGCGTCCGTGTTCGCCTTCGTCCGACTGCTGTTCCTCCCCCGTCTAAAAACTTCTGCAAGGCTTGCAAGACGCGTCCATGAAAGTGGAATATTAGCGTTCCATCATGCACGAGCCACCCCAGGCAGCACACAGTACTGGGCCAATATTGGATTTCATGTCACAAAGAATGGTCTAACAATGGCCTAACTGAGCCACATGCTTACCAATATTGGAATCATATCGGCCAATAATGGACTATCAAAGCCAATGGCTTTCCAATAGTGGTGATACGTTGGCATTGGCTGGTCAACATTGGACTGTCAAAGCCACTGGCTTTCCAATATTGAATATTGCCGGCATAAGTTGTCCAATATTGGTCTTTCAAAGCCAATGGCTTTCTAATATTAGATATACACCGGCATAAGCTATCCAATATTGTTCTGTCAAAACCAATAGCTTTATAATTTTGGATACCCGCCGGCATAAGCTGTCCAATATTGGACTGTCAGAGCCACTGGCTTTCTGATATTGGCTATACACCGGCATAACCTGAACAATATTGGACTGCCGTGTTTGTATTTGTTTCTGCTTGCTGGATTTCTTTTTTTTAATATTTAAGAATTTTGTGAATATTTCGTCCCTCTCGATGTAAGCGTCAACAATCATAAAGCCGCTGCTTACACCGCTACCGAAATGAGTTCTACTCTTCTGATGGCAGTTTGTCGCTCTATGAAGTTGTCTATTGGACTCGAATCAAGTCTTGAGAGTGCTGTTTCGAATGTCAGCGCACATGACATCGGTGTAGGCAAAGCAACGACGTAGCAATCGCGACGCGAGAGCCGACTGCGCCTCAATCTGGCCGGCCGCGCTCGCTCTGCGGAAATGTGAGCGTGGGACTCTCGAGCATCGTTAGCTTACTGAAGACGCAAGACGCTACTTTGTCGTCACGAACCCTTTGCCCTTCAAACGGTTGCAAAGCCGTTGCGCCTGGCCTACCTTACGAAGCATCTTTCAAAAACCGTTCGCGCAGCATCGCAACTTTCCGTCTGCGAGCGTCGGAGATTCATCGTGTGTTGAAAGTCGGAAAATGTGCTGTCCGTGGTGTCTTTTATATGTAACTTTTTCGTAAAAAAAAATTGAAGTTTAGAAGCGCGTACCTAACAGTGTACACATATTTTTTTTATTGGTAAAAAAATATACGTATATTTATATTTATTTATTTATTTATATGTGGACATCGTGCGTAAAAATAGTCGCGCTTAGTTCTTCGTTTAAAATTATAATGTGGGTTACACGGCGTAAAACATAGTATCTTCAAACTTGCATCGTTTTGGGTCACTTTTGGGCTGGAGATTTTGGAAGTGCAAAAGCTGGCCTTCATAAAGCTGTCCTGTTCACTCTGTATAGACAGCAGAGCAGACGCTAGGCGTGTTTTAGGCCAATCGTGTCTCCCGTTAGGGTCACGTGCGTACAGACTCGAAGCTGGTGATAAGACAGAATACGGCACCTGCCAGAAGCCTAAGGCCACACATAGCATTCACTCCACTGTCAACGTTGGGCACAAGTGGCAAATCCTCTAATTGTGTTCATTGTTGAGATGGCCCTGACGATAAGCCTTTTGTGTGTGCACTCCCGTTTTGGCCTTCAAGGAGTTGCTGCCTTTCTTCCTTTCTCTCTTTTGTCTCTCTCCCTAAGCTGAAAGCGTAGTAGAAGGTCCGCTTTTTTTATCGCTTGAGTCTGCGCGGGAAATGACAGAAGCGTGATCGCGTGGTTTGACGGATGATGCACTAGCCGTTGACAATCTCGGAATACCTGTTTGCGGTCCTAGTTTGGCATGTAATGCGGCCTGCGTCGCTTCTGTGGATTCCGCTTCTGTAGTAAATGGTATTTATTTCGTTCGAAAGGTCCTACCCGTATGTCGACAACAAGCGATTTCTTCAAAGACGCCCAAGAGATTCTTGTGTTGTGCTTAGTGCTTGGTCGGCAAATGACAGCTTGTGCTACATTGTGTTAAATCTTCACGGACACCTTCCTTCTCGTTTTTGTGTTTGAGTGGCTGTTCTGCCGTGCCCGTGTCGACATATATCTCGGATTACACCTTTTAAGTGCGGTATCGTCAACCTAAGTGCGCTGCAACCTACTTCGCGACAATTAATCGTTCGTTTATGGGTACTTTTCTGGATTACTTCTAGAGTTAGGCAGTGTCTATCTCCTGGCAGCCGGGAGAATATTTTCCTCGAAATTCTACCAGCAGTCACCTGCCATTCGCTGTCTGAAATCATGTCCCAACTGCAGGTAGAATACTGAATTTTTTATTCTCCCTACGTTTCGTGAGAACACGTTCCACGGGCACCTTTTCGTGGATACACGTTTCATGGACACACGTTTCGTCCACATTAGCGTTTCATCGACACTCGTTACGCGAATTGCACGCTGTACGGGCGTTTAGTCGCGCGTGTATTTATGAGGCGCGTGCTCGCCGACCCAGCCCACCCTTTAACGCCGCTTCATGTGAGTCTGCAGCTGCTCATTAAAAAAGAAAAAAAAGAAGCTATTCTGAGTTCTTTTATAAAACATCGCGTGTTGATGAAACGATCTGTCGATGAACCGATTGCACCGCCAATGAGGGGCGACGACCGGTAGAATTTTGGAAAAAAAATTCTTCCAGCTGCCGGGAGACAGGACACTCACTACCCAAGAATTACCCAAGTTTTTGTTTGCTTAGCAATTCTTAATTGTATAACAGTTAAGTTGTACCTCTTCGCATATTACGAATTGCTTTGTTTGTACTTGTCTACAGAATAGGCTGTGTGTAATAAACTTCTAGGAGACTTCAAAACAACCCATCGTCTCTGTTCTCCTTCGTTTTTGCAAACAGCTTGGCGAGTACATTTGCAAACAGCTGGGCGAGTGCAACGATGGCACAACATCAGCACCAATGACGACCAACATTGGATCGGGTAGCGCTTCCTGTATTGTCCAATATTACGACGGTGTTTGCCAATCTGGGATCACTATTGGCTGGAACGATGGTTTAGCAATGGCCCAACATTGGCACAAATGATGGGGCCAACATTGGCTGGAACGATGGCTGCACAGAGGCCCAACATTGGTACCAATGACTGGGCCAACGTTGGATATGGTAGCACTTCCAATATTGAGGCCAGTCTTTGCCAATGTTAGGCCAATGTTGAACCAACATTGGTGCGCTGCCTGGGACGGTTCACTGCAAGAACTTCCCCGCTATACTTAGCGGGGAGGTTCAGTGTCTCCGCTAGATTTAGCGGACAAATTCAGTTTTTCCGCTTGATTTATAGGGGAAAATCAACGTCACGTGACCTCAACGTCAATTCAATTCCTCGCTAGATATAGCGAGAAATTGAATTGGTGTTGAGGTCACGCGACGTCAATTTTTCCGATAAATCTAGCGGAGAAACTGAATTGGTTCATAGGTGACGTGACACCAAGTCATGTGGTGTCATTTTCCCGATAAATTTAGCGGGGAAAGTGAATTGGAGGAAGAGGGGAGGATGAGGAGGACAGGAAAAGCGGAAAGGAGAGGGTGAGGAGGAGGAGGGGCATACCCTCCATTTCCCACCCTCTTCCTCCTCAAGAGCTGCGCTCTAATTTAGCATTATATAGATTTGTAAACGTTTTTCATTTTTTTCGGTTAGGGCACGTCTTCACATAACAAACATTCGGCGTTCTATAAAAAGCCTTGCTGAACGAAGAAACAATCCTACGAAATGCAACTGCGTTCCGCAGAATTCCCAAAAAACTGAATCAGCACGTGGATGTCAGCGGATCGCAACCGCGCAGAACAAGATACAGACGAAGGAGAACTATATGATCGGGTCAATCGGTTGATCTTGCTTAACTGTGGGGAAGGCGACGCGCTCCCCACGAAGGAGACGCCGGAAGACAAGGCGACACGTCACTCCGCGAAGGCAAGTGAGGAGAAAACATAATTCGTTCTTTGCAATACTATAGTTCCAGTGTTACTTTTCCTAGACCAAAAGAACGTTCACGTGCTTGTCAAAATGTAACCCAAAACATATCCGAAAAGTGCTATAATCCTAACGCTCGCCATCTGTATAAAAATGTTGTTTTTTTTCATTAGTCCAATTTTCGCAAGGAGGCAGGGGCCAGGAAGTTGCCTTCAAAGCAAAAAATAAATAGCCCTCGCCTATTTCTATTGCCACATGTTTAATAGGCAACTTTGTTAATCGGAACTAAGTGTATTTATTAACCGACACAGACTGAGCAGTATACCTACAAAAGCAAACTTCTTCAAAACCCTCCTTAGTGCACCAAGAAGGCGTTTGCAAGGAAACGTTACCCACTTGGAGCACACTCAGACGCAAAATATGTGAACCAGCTTTTAAAAGTCCTGTCTTTGGCGCTGAGAGGCGTCGCTTCCTGTGGAGTTGCGGATACCGGCGTCGCTCGGAGGTTGCTGCAAAGCCGCTTGGCAGAGAAGCAGGGGAAAATTTATCGCCCGCGACGCCTTCGCTTTCCGCGGACAGAGAGACTTGGTTCACTCTTTCCACGGACGCGCAAGGTTAGCACGTGCGAAAGGGCACTTCCAGCGATAAAACCTGTTTTGTCTGAGCAGCCTGGGCTCCGATATTCGCTGGTCGCTGCTTCCGCTTGAAACACGATATCAACACTAAAGAGCTTCGAGACGTTGTGTATGCGGTCGAGGCAGGAAGGCCAGTAGAGTGGTCGTTTTCTTTGAAAATCAGTCACCGCCGCTGCTTTGTTTGAGTCCTTCCTGAGACTACACGGTGAGTTTTCTCGTACACTCGAATGCACTTATGCCCCAAGTAACGTCAGCAAGCGTTCACGCGGCTCTTCTTAACTTCACTACCTCGTTACTTACACTCGAAACGAGGTACATGCTGTGGATGTATCACTCCAAGAAATTTTGAGCTTCTATTTTCACAAGTCTGTACCAATCTGTAGACTCATTCGAAGAATAAACCGCGCCGTGACACCGAGCATGACGGTTAACCATGCGCAGTGTTACAGCGAAAACTGTGATTTAAGGTCTATAACCATTATTTCGGTCTTGTCATCCACCGCAGCTTGCAGGGATTGTCTCTTGAACGTGATCAGTTGAAAAGTAAACACTCCGGAGGTTCTATCGGGGGGGGGGGGGGGGGGGGGGGGGATTTGTTGGTTTTGCTTGTTGCCGTTCTGCACTTGGCCAAAAAAAACGTGATCTATTTGAAGGAACGCCGAAGCAACCTTAGTAGAGCCATGATATATCTACGCTCTACCAAAGCTGGTGACACTAGGCAACATGGATATATTCTCACGCTTGAGTGTCAAAATGTAGCAAAGTGTCAAACGAGAGCGCAAAAGGTTTCTAAGTGCTGTTTCAGTCTGCACCACATATTCCATATTACGTACTTTACGCTCAAGTAAATAGATGACATTTGACGAGTGACATGGCGAACGTTCTTTCCTTTTCATTAAAAGCTGCGAATCTGCACTGCTAGTCGTGCTCGTTTGTTGCAGTTTTTTACAGACTTGACACTGTGATTTCACGCAGCTCTTGCACTCGTTATGTGGGGCGATAAATTTAGCCAAAAGTTTGCAACCGTATCTCGAACGTTTTGTGATCGTCTTTGTACTACACCAGGAGCGGATGGAAAAGCACGTTTAAGACGATCGCTTTGTTATAGAATTGTGCAGTGCCGTCTTATGATGTTATTACAACTAGAATAATTCATTATATATATCAGGCATTCATGCGTTCCGTGTATTATATTCATGCGTTGCGTGTCGCGTTACACTTGGTGGATAACATTGTTTATCCAATAGGGCCTTTAGACTTTGTCTTCTAGCATCAAAATCCTCCTGGATGGAGCAAACAAGTTTAAAACGATGGACTTGGCTATAAGATATGCGGTTTTTATAATGACGTGAATGATTGCTTAAATAATGAACGTATTTTTGTCGGTCGCTTGGTTTACGGTACAAATTTGCTGAGAGTTTGCACTCTTCTATTGTTACAAAGACGTCCAAAAAGTCAATATAGGTTTGATAATACGTGCGGGTAAAACGAATGTTTGGATAAGCAGTATTATAATGATCTTTAAATTTCAGCAGCTCCGCCTCGGTGTCTCCATACAGGCAAAATGCCATATACAAATATTTTGTATATTCCTGGCTTTAGGGGATCATCTATAACGATATTCTGACTCTAGTTTCCCCATAAATATGTTAACATAACTGGGCACCATCTTGGTGCGCATCGCGGCTCTGCTAACCTGCCTGAAGTATTCAATATTAAATTGGAATGTATTAAGTTCTAGACAAGCCTCGTTAAGGTACAAACTACATGTTTATAGGTGGTGTCTGGTTCTTTAAGTAGCTTGTAAATGCCAGTTAGAGAAGTTATTGCATCGTCGTGTGGATTATTTACATGTCGTGAATAACTGTGTAAAGAAATGTTTTGCACGAAAAAAAATAGTTTAATCTAGCTGTTAGTCTAGTTGTTAATAGTTTAGTAGCGAGGATATCCGACTAATCCACACTCACGCCCAGCCCGGGCTCGAACTTTGTGTTTTCTTTATTTAATACTTTAAAGCCTGTAACGGTCGCAGTGTGCCACTCGCTCGTGACGGTCAATATGACGGTCGTTATGACGCTCGTTCATGAGGATTGTCTCATTGGAAACGACCAGCAAACCACATTCTGTGTTATAATGGTTCTTGAAGTGTCAGTCTCACCACTATGTTCTGTTTTGAATTTATCTAGTTATAAGAAGGCAAATTGAACTCTGTGAATCCCCATACAGTTCACTCGGTCTGCCCTTTAGATATGGCGACCTTGCTTCAACTCGGTACGATCGCTTTCCTGTTCTTTTTCTTTGCGTACTCTAATTCAATGGGGCAATTTAAATCAGGAACATGTTAAGAATAATCCCAATAAACACAACCGCGTGCCATCCACGAAAATGCATCGCTCCATGGAACAACCAAGAAATGCAGTAGCCGTGACAAGTAATGCTTCCTCTACGTGGAGTGCGCCTGCATAGCCCACTATTTGTGTATCAAGGAGGAACAGTAATTGTTGATAATGAGAATGCGAAAGGAGCTTCTGGTGCATTGTTAAAGGGGCGATGCAGCATGTTTCGGGCTTACAGTAAATACCTCTTGGAATTTGTCCTTGACGTTCATAACCTAAAGACAGGCATTATATTTTTTTTTCACGCAGTGGCAGTTCTAGAAACAAATTCGAGAAAAACAAACAACCTTTACCACCTAACTTTTAACTGTAGTATTTCAACTTTTAAAAAAAGTTAAGTGAATGATTTACAATAAATAACGAAATACGTTCTATGGCAAACTGAAGAACCAGCGACTTTCCAAAAAAAAGGTGGCAGCCGTCACGAAGGGACGATTTTCTTGGCGTTGCTTGCGCGACGCGGAGAAGGAAACAGGGTATTGAGCTTTGTTGATGAACACCTCCTGAATGTAAACAGTCACGGCACTTACACATCCGGCTTTACTGAAGTTCAAAGTAGTCTGAGATACACCCTGCGACAAAGTTAGCAACGCATCGTTGATGTTTCCTGTTTTACTCTCAAAGAACTGAAAGGCAGTCGTCATAACCACTACAGTCCCGGGTAGTGCAGCTCTTTGCGTCATTTGTTCGGCAATTTAGGGCCTTAAAATCCAAAACAAAAAACCTATCTTTTTGGCCAGAGTCTGCCTGATTCTTTGGTTTTCACCTGGCAACCTTGGTGCCTAAATTTCCAAACACTTCACTTCGGGTTGTAACTTGTATGGCTTTTATGTGGCATTTATGACTCATGTGTGGCTCTTCGGCAATAATGAGCCGAACGAAAAAGTCATAGAAATGTCAATGATACGTACAGTCGTTCAACTTTTTTATAATATCACGCGAGCGTCGACTGTTGGAACGGCCAGCGATGTGCCGCGGAGAAATGCGGCGTCACGGGAGAGGTTATGCGCGTGCGCACAAAGCTCTCTCCGGTGCGAGCGTCGTCTGCTAGGCTGTTCTGTTGACCGCACACAGCCCCTGTTCCTTATCTGCTGGCATCATAGAGTTATTATAATGTACGCTAGAGGTTCAAGTGGCGCTAGTGTGCTGACGCAAATTGAAGCAGGCAGGAACCAGTCGAAAATTGACTTTCGGTAATGCATTTCTATGGGGAAAAGTGAGTGCATTTTCTCCCTGCGCTCGATCATAAGAGCAAATATCCCGAATAATTCGTACGTACTAAGTAGCTTGAAACATTTCTCAGTCAGGCTGACGAAATAATTGGTCAGTTACGGCGTTTTTCTTTCAAATTGGTCGGATTAAAAACGGTGCTAAAACGGCTTCGTACGTGTATTTATGTGCACTGTCGGACACTTTTAGCGCGAACACGACGTCGGCGCTTTTCAGCATGAGGGATATACGTGCCAGACGAACGAAGAACATCTGAAAATAAAGGGAGACGGACGGCAAGAACTACGCAGTAACACTGGATCAGTAACTACCCGTGCATGTACGATCAAAATAAATTGAAGGTCACGCAATATATTCCGATTTTAAAGAAGCAAGTACAGCCTTATTCTTTCTGCTCTGTGCGAAGATGTTCGTTTGTATGTTCAAGATATCACCCGCACGCTTGAAATCTTTGAGAACAACTGCCCGATAAAGGCTGCCCGGCAGAGAAAACAATACCAAGAGACACCTTTCATAGCCCACTTACTTTATTATCTACGTTTTGAATGTTTTTATCCGCGCATGCACGATGGGGTCATTTTCATATAGTGACAGGACTGGCATTATCAATATATATAAGCGTCACCGGTATGCTGGCGAGCCTTGAACACACTCCATATTCCTTTCGATTTTAATTTTGCTTTGAATCGTCGCTTGCTCTTACACACTTGCTGCGGAACACACGCGTTTGGGACTGAAATGTAGCGAAGTTACACATCGCTCACTAGAAAAGAAAAATGCGTTAACTAAAGCAATTACACTTTTACAATGTTAATTAAGACACATACTATTCAATACGACCGAAATAACCAAAGTGCTCCGTGTTATTTTCCGGAGGAAGAGACAAAATGCACGCGCGTTTTCCCATAGGAATGCACAGGAGCACCGCAAAAGTACACTGGTTGCTGTCTGCTTCAATTTGCGTCACGGAACTCGCATAGACACTAGCGCCAGTTGAACCTCTGGCGTACATTATAATAACTCTATGGCTGGCATAGCTGACCGCCTTTAAGCAAAGATCTGAAGTGCGCTTGCTTGCGTGATACCGTGATACTGCTCAGGCGTGAAAGAAACCGCGCGTCATCTCGTTTAATTTAGTGTTTTTTTTATTCTTTTATTTTTGTTTGCGTTTACTTTGTCAGCACGAAGAAAAAGAGAAATACAATGACGCGACAAGCTGAATGCAACGATGCATTAAACTATATACCGCAGCCAATGCTACGAGCCATCAAAACCAATCCAGCGCTGTCACCCTGTTACGTGCAGTTGTGCCCAACAGGAAGGCCACGTGACACACTCTCAGCGATGGACTGGCCAAGATGGCTCGTAGCGTCGGCTGCGGAAAATCGGCGCAGCGCGCTCCTTTGCTACGGAGCAGGGGCTGTGTGCGATCAGCGGAATAGCCTATACTTCGTTCCAGCTTCGGTCCGAGCGCGGCCGATGTTATGAGCCGAAGGGCCAATCTAACAGCGAAAGAGGCACAACGTCATGGCGTGCTCTCTGCAGTTGATAGGACCAGCCGGTATTCGCTCTCTCTCTGTGCACTGCTCCTCCGCCGGCTAGTCTTATCAAGCCCAGAGAGCGCGCCATGACGCTGCGCTTTTTGTGCTCTTCGATTGGCCCTTCGGCTCATAACATCGGCCGCGCTCGGACCGAAGCTGAAACGAAGCATAGCAGACGACGCTTCCCGGAAAGGGCTTTGTGCGCACGCGCTTAATCTCCCGTGAAGCTGCATTTCTCCGCGGCACGGCACTGCCCGTCCCGGCGGTCTAGAGTGCCTTCATACACTACGGCGGTCGACTCTCGCGTGATATTATTAAAAAATTGGGCGACTGTACTTTCGCACTATAAGTGCGCCTTGGAGAAAAGCCTTATTAGGCCCAAGTTAGGATTGCCAAATTTGGACCGAGTTAGGCTTTTCCCCGAGTACTTCCTGGTGTGGTGTAAAATGATCGTTCAGGAATTACACCTGAGCCGAGAACTTTAGTACTCCTCGATATTCTGTCCAAGTTAAATAAAAAAAAAATTCCAATGTTCTGTTCACGCTTTTTCATAGTTTCCACTATACTGCCTTAAAACTAGCCAATAATTGAACTGAAGATAATAATAAGATGCTTTCACGCTATTTTCGCAAAACGAGAGTATTCATACTGCACGTAAATTGCATATATGGTTTATGAAACTCATATTTGGTATTTCTGTAGTCTACATGCAGTATCTGCAAATGATCTCTGCGTAGCCGTCGCCATCTTAAACAGTAATTTCTGGTATAGCGGAAAACATCGTTTTGTCATAGCCACGCAAATGGAAGGTGTTCACATTTTTTATTGCGGCTGTGAATTTTTCTCTACTTTTTTTATTCTTTTTACTTAATCCAGATTGTAATGTTTTGCTTTTTTTGCGTCGCCCATACCGGATTAGTTACCTATACGTGATTGGGCATGAGGGTAAACAGAAAAGATGTATACGCGGGGTTATTTTGTTGAGAAAATATATATCACAGGTGAATATTTTGTATCGTTCAGGTTTCGCGCGATTTTCAGTTGTTCTTTTTTATTTATTTTGTGCACGCGTTCAGACTTTAAGGATGTGATAGCGCTAGCCTGGACCATCCCGAAAACAGCATGCTGGGGCGCTAGTCGTCGAGTCAAAACGCGGTACTCGGATTGGCCACAAGTGCTGTTACAGCGTTCAACACGACATGGTTGCTCATCCAGCGCCTTGAAATTTTTGTTCGGTGACGAGGCGCCTACAGTCTGGCTTACAGACCTGTCAGATAGGCACGTTAAAGGTGTTCCAAACAAACTCCTCTAAAAAATTGAGGAACCAATGCAGGCCGTGGCTCGTGCATGATGGAAAGCTAGTATGCCGCTGTAATGGACGCGTCCTACGGCATTGCAGACGACGAAAGACGGGGGTGAAATAACAGACAATGCCGTTGGCTGCCACGTGTCTGCACGCATAACTAGCAGGTGGTGTCAGAAGTCAGACTAATATGCCTAGAGCGCGTCTCCTGACTGGTGCGCAAATCTCTAAAGGAGTTTCTTTTTGAGGCCATTAACGTACCCGCCCGGCAGGGGTTTCAAACTGACAGTTGAACGCCGTCTGCCTTCGATCCCAGAGGATGAGGGAGAGAGACCGACCCGCCGCCCAGATCATCGATGGCCACCGGTTGCCGGGATCCTACTCAGAAGAGGTTTACCGGAGCGGCCTCCGCTATCAGCCGGAGGAAAGCGACATTATCCTGGTCACCTTCCCCAAGTGCGGCACTCACTGGGTGCTGGAAATCGTCAAGGAGTGCTTCCGAGTCTGCAGGGGCGTCACACCGGGATGGAGCTTTCTCGAGAGGCAGGGTCTGGACGGCATTCTCAAGGCCCAGAGACCGCGAGTCATCTTCACTCACCTGCCCTTTCACTTGACGCCTTTCTCGCCATCCACCAAGTATATATACGTGACCAGGAATCCTAAAGACTGTTGCGTGTCTTTTTACCATCACACGAAGGCAATTCCCGGTTACTGTTATCAAGATGGAACATTTGACGAGTATTTTGAGCTTTTCGTCGAAGGTCTCACGGCCTTCGGCAGCTACTATGAGAACCTACTATCTTGGTACGCAAAGAAAGACGAACCTAACGTGCTGTTTCTCACATATGAGTCGATTCATGCTCACACAAAGAAATCGGTGCTCAAGATCGCTGGTTTTTTGGACGACCAACTCGCTAAAGAGCTTGCGGAAGACGAAGCAAAAATGACGGCTGTAATTGATGGTACGAGCATGGCAAAGATGAAGAAGGATTTGGAAGTAATCTTCGTGAGGAAGGGTGTCGTTGGAGACTGGCGGAATCACTTTTCGGTAGAACAGTCGCGGCGACTAGAGGAAAGGTTCTTCAAAGAAATGGAGGGCACTTCTGTGCCAAGGCTTTGGGATGGTGTGGACTGGCTTCTGGACCGGAAGGAAGTCGTTTAGATGTTTATGACCAGGTAGTGTGCTCGAACAGGAATACTAATGGTCCTGTCCCCACTGGCACATCGGTGAACACATTTTCTGTTGTAATATCAGTATAATAATAATATTAGTAGAACAATAATAATAATAATATAGTCACATACAACTTCTGAAACGCGGGACGTGGACAGTCGAAAGCATCATATTATCGCATCTTAAAAAACAAGACTGCTCCAACTTGAGAGCCGAAGGACTAAGCAAGAAACGCGAAGGGTCACGCCGCGCATTTGATAAGATCTGAGTGAATGCAGTTCAGACTAAATTCGCATATGTGGATACTGTTCCATGGGACCAATAAAACAAAAAACCAATGGTTTTGGGTGTTCTCGGGTGGTGTCTTTAGTTCACAAAATTTCAGTTATCAGTGCTGTAAACCTCACTAGATGTTTCTTACTAGCAATTGCTGGTACGAGAGCAGAACTGCTTACTGACAATGGCACACGTTCTGAAACTTAAATCTCGCGATGTAGCACGTGGTGTCGTCAGCGTGTGTGTCATTATTTAACGAAAACACAGTGAAGGTGCAGGCAAGCTAGTGTAAGTTTCCCATTTTTGTTCAAACTCCTTCCACACGATTTCTCACAACGTAAAAACTTGTGCAAACAACTTTGGTGTAAATGTGGTTTTCAATACAGATTGCAAATTGGGCAACTTTACAGCATTTCAGAGACAAAGGAAGGGGTGCCAGAAAGACCATAAAGAGAATCGGTACCTTGCGAGAAAGGTGTACTGTATGAGATAGCTTTTAGCGTCTGGGTTTAAATATGTGGTGCCAACTTCCAGTTGGGGTGTTGGCCCGTTCGTGACATGCCGATTCGTCATAGGCCAACTGGTAATAGGACAATTGGTCACATAGGATAATTCGTTCTAGGGGAACTCTTCACATGATAGTTCGTCATATAAATTTTTAAAGAGGCACGGAAATGAAAGTTTAAAGTTCACTTATTTGTTGAAATGCTGAATATAATGCATTATTATTGTAATACAGTGAATCGCGAGACCGACTTCTCCTATATTCACTTTCATATGGGCTTGCGCCCATCATTGCTGGCATATCAATTTTTTTAATGTTTGTATAACAGGTGCTTCCGCAGTTGAATGCATTGAAGGTATATTCCTAATTAATAAGTGACTACCAAGAGCGTCAGGTTACACTTGAAAACAGAGTGTGTATTAGTCGAAATATTAGCATTTTAAAACGCAATATTTCCAGCTGCTGCCCTCAATGTTCCTAGACAATTCTCACTGTCGTAGCGGTTCACGACAACCTGCTTGTTGTACTTGTCATGCTTCTTCGACACCCTTGAAGACGTAGTGCCACTTTCTGCTTGAGCGAGTTTGATCTCCGTCAAGGACTGCTCTCTCTTGCCAGAAAGGCCCAGATGTTGGGGGAGCTACAGCCCAAATTGCTTTTAAAGAGAGAAAAAAAAAAGAAAAACACGCGCAAATTATTAGTAGTGTATAGCTTCGCTGAGCACGCACCTAGCAACAAAAAACACGAGCATAGCTTTATTATGAAGTATATATTCACATAAAGCAAAGTATGGTTGACGGAAGAGGTGGAACGCGGTCATGTATGCCGTCATCATTTTTTTGCAGAAGTCACGGCGAGGTCTTATTCACCTCTCTGTTCATTTGCGGGCAGTGGTGATGATAGGGAATTTGCATTTTTAGCGATTTCGTGACATTATATTCGACGTTTGCGCCCCAACCAGTGCTCAGAAAGGTGCAGTTCTCTTACGTCGGAACCCCAAATGCACCGCCCCTCCAACTATAATAAGGTAATTCGCGTTTGTTGCTACAAACAACTTACGAGATATTGGATTAATACCTGCAGTTCTCAGAACCAAGCTCGATGCTGTTATCTGTTCTTGGCATTTCCGCAAATGTCGATTCCCTCGCAGGCCGTCAACGAGTTGGCATAGACCCTGTGTGATAGGTGGCCCGAGTGACAAATTATCCTACGGGAATGTTCCGGTGTAACGAATTGGTCTATTACCGGTTACCTTATGACGAATATCCACTTCCAAGTGTTTGCATGACAGACTTACAGAGCATAAAAGTAACGTAAATGTCAAAGTGGCCAATATTGATATAGCAACATATATGCAGGAACGCCACAACTGCACGGCACAGTGGTCGGAGACAAAATCAGTACACAAAGAGGTCAAAGATCTCAAACGCGTTGTAAGAGAAACAATTAGACTTAAGTCTTCGTTCTTAGCGCTGTTTTCGTTTTTAGCGAATAACGCATTTTATATATTTCGATGGCTTGTTCAGTTTGAACTAACTGAAGTATCTTTATCTGAAAGCGTTCGTTTCTCTTGTTCAAATTGTAATATTTTCTATGTCTCATCTCCTAGAATGAATAGTAATTGAAACTTTGTTGTGTGTTTAATGAATCTACACCGCAATCACTGACTTTGTTGTATCTCCGTTGTTTTCCCTTGTGGGAACAACGTGTTCCCCGTCTCCCTATCTAGGCCTAGCACAAGCAGGCCGTGGGAGCGTTATGGCGACGTCATCCCTGATACTGGGGTAAGGCCGCATTCCTCGAAGAGGGCGTGTCTACCCTCGCCCTTTTGGGTGAAAGTGCCTCCGGCGCACCCTTCGGAAATGATTGTGGACGCGGCCCATCTGCGGGATAAGTCACACTACCTACCCCGGGCGCGTCCACTTTCCGCCGGCTAGATAGGCGGCCGCGAACGGCGGCCGTGGCTCTCGTCGGCGGAGGCCCTGGCTCTACGGAGCTCGGTTTTTCTTTGTGGGCCTCCGAGTTCCCGTGAATCTGTCTAATGCGGCAGCGCGGGAAACCGACCGGGTGATACTGGCAATTGAGCCAGCGCCCAGACTTTTCATTGTCTAAGAGCGAAGCATGTTGGAATTTCAGTCAATAAACACGTCATTATTCGGACCCGAGGAACCTTCTGCTTCTAAGTGGTAACCCCCAAAGGGGAAAGCCCACATTTGGCGCCCCAACGTGCGGCTTTCCATGGACTGCAAAGACAGCAGCATCTATCTCTTTTCGCTAAGATAGCGAACCAGGTCAATTTCCGGCCAAGGATTAAACAGGTGGACAAAGGGAGAGGCGAACGCCCGACACCCGCTGCCACTCAACGGCTTAAGGGGTGTCCAAACAGAACACTACAAAACACACGACTCCGACAAATCGTGAAAATCGAAGCGGACACTTCTATTTTTATGATTTGTCGGAGTCGTAAAAGTTTTTGCAGGAGTCGTGAAAATTTCCACGATCACGACTTCTCTCCTCGCCTCCTCCACTTTTCTCTGACGTCACACGCCACCTGCGTCTGGCTCACCTTGCCAACGCCCTCGCGTAGCGCCGTCGCCTCGGCTCGAAGGCCAAGGGGGTCCGGCTTCGGGTGGATCTGGGACATTCCTGCGTCGAAGGGTGCGTTTCGTCCGCCTCGGATCTGCTTTCTCTGTCGAGATTCACTTTCGTCGTGATGGCGTCCGACGCGGTTCCGTATTGTGATTGGAGGCCTTGAGCGATTGACCGACAGCCAACAGAGCGTTTGAGTGGCTCTCCGGACCCACGTGATGAGCAGAGCAAGGCCGCCGTGGAGGAAGCGAGGGGCAGATTTGACGGGGGGAAGTTTCCCCCCGGGAGCTTTGACGGAGGGAAATTTCCCTCCGACGGCCGGAAGCGGAGCGCTGCACGATTTGCCGGAGTCGTGAGTTTTGTAGTATCCTGTTTGGACAGGCCTTTAGTGGCCACGTCAGCCACCCACGGACACAATGCAGTGTCTTTTCAGCCGAGCTCGCTTCCAAACGGAGGTGACTCAACGCCCGGAATGCGTCCGAGGCATTCCCTATCGGGACGACGCCAGCCTACTTTGCTGGGAAGAGCGCACCTGCGCTTTTCGAGGTAAACCCCGTTCTCGAACAAAGTACGGTGACGCAACAAAAAGCAAGTGCAGCTTTATGTCTTCAAGACGGCTCGCGGGGCCCACCCAGAGTGGACACCCCGTCAGCGCACAAACTAAAAGCGTATCTCGGAGCGAGGAAACGCGCTGTGCCTGCATCGCCCACTGCTAGAATACGCAGCGCGGGTGAATCCGAACAACACCGGTCCCAGCCTAGCGAGGGTGCGGAGACCGCCGATGGTGCCCTTCGTCGCCACGTCGACGGACCAGTAGCCATCAGGTTGACCTAGGGAGCCTTCATGTGCGCTTTGCGAAACGCATATGAAGGCACTCTAGGTTGACCAAGCGACCCCCGGAACAAAGGGCCCCCACGAAAACTGAGCGAGTCAAACTGATTTCCTTTTTACTCCAACTTTCCTTCCCGCTATCAAGGGACAGAGGACTGGCGTGAGCATGGTTTTCGGCTACTAGAATTTAGTATGTTCCGTTTACCCGCGATCGACTCCGGCCATAAGTCAGTGAGCGTCGCACGCAACAATAACGTTAGGAACCTTTGAGGGTTACCTATCGAGTTGCGGCCCCGTAAAAGCGACGTTAAATGTGAAAACGCCGCGGGGTCCGGGAGCAGTTCAATAGTGCTACCGGGCAGTGCAACAGGTTGAACAGCGCCCCGAGATGATTGCGTGTCCGATTAAGGTGACCGCCATGCGGTCGCTGGACGAGATTGTGAACCACGGCACTCGAAGTGTTCCTTCGGGATCGACGGTAGCACCGTTGAGTTTTTGATGCTCAGCAGAACGATCCGGGGTGTATATATGTTAATAATTGTAAATACTTTCGCGGACTCTGCGAAGTCGGGCGGTGCGTCCGCCGGGCGGTGCGCTCGCCACTAACGTCGCTAAGCAACTTGCATTGTTGCAGACGGGCTTTGGCAGCCGGGCAGCGTACTCGCCGGGTCGAGCAACTTGTGTTGTTGCCGATCGGTGCCGTAAATAGTCTTGTATTGCTACTGGCACGGGGTTTCTTTTTTATTTGAGATCGGTTTCTGTTTTTGCTGATGCAGATAAACTCAAGCTACGGTGCTTGGCCTCTACGAACATTGCAGTTCAAGGTGGCTGTCCTGTGCGGCTGGGAGTTGCATTCGGTGCACTCCTATAGTTCGCGTTGGCCAGGGCAGCACGCGGCTCCAAGACTTTTCGAAGTTAGGTCGCTGTGCTATACCTGCAGCCACAGGAATTTGTGTTTTAGCCTAAGGTAAAAGCTAACATGTTTGGAAAATAACAATGTTGGCGAGCCTTCCCGATTGCAGCCCTGCATCGTTTCAATATCACAAGAAAGGACAGGGTGGCGCATTTGACATTTCATTGCGCCCGCAAATCGAAGCGATTAGGCATCGTTAGCAAAAGCAGCTACAAAGAACTTTGCCTC